GGCGCTAAAGTGGTTTTCTTCCTCTCTGTGGTATGTGCTGCTGGTGTATTGTATTTTATAGCCACCAATAAAAAGCTCCACTACTGCAAAGCTCTAGACCCATATGTGTATGGGCCCGATGCTTTTATGGTGATGAATATACTTATGTAATAAAGGCTGTTTATGAAAGAGCTTGTAGTGCTTCCACGTTTTTGTTTTCTCTGGCAGGAAATTTCATTAGAAGGGTAATGATTTCAGTATATCTATAACAAAGCAGACAATCTCACTGACAATGTCATTGATCTGGGCAAAGTCATCTTTAAATTTCCTCTTATTCTTTCTTTGCATTTATGGTTTCATCCCGGTGAGGTTTTCATATATACATATATTCCATTTTATAAATCAGATTAAAACTGTCACGGCCACATCACAACCAGGAGAAAAAAACAGACACGGTGGAATCAGATGAAAGGTTTCAATGTCCAATAGGGAATAAAAAAGTTTTGGATTTTGAGCAGTGTAACATTAAAGCATCCGAGTCCTGGTTTGATATCTGTCATAGGCTGCTCTGTCATTACAATGATGCCACTTTGATATGTTGCCATCTGTAAAGAACAGCCACCTGTCTCCATCAATCATCATAACAGACCGATGAAAAAAGCCACAAACTGTCATTTCATGACAGCAGATAATGACCAACACAACTGTGCTTTCAGTATTTGTGAATAAACAGGTAATGACATGGCAGGTCATTTAAATCTGTCCATGTGCGCTTGTAATCTAATACCAAACAATGGCGAGTAAACCTCAGAGGCAATATCCTGGTGCGCAAGACAAGTTTGGGAAGGGACTGAGTTCGGGATTGACAACCGTGTTTACTAACAGGTGACTCTCCAATTGTCCTGTTCATACAACAGCTTGCAGTAGTGGCTTCAGTATGAACGAATAACGGAAGTGAGGCTTCTTTTCTATTCTGTGTAACCATAGTGACAAGTGAGGTTCAGTTCACACTGCACAAGTTAACCAATGCAAGTGTGATTCTGTTATATAATGTGGTGTCACTCTGGATTTTGAATTTAAACTGAGGTACATGTAACAAACAGAATGCAGAATAGCAATTCAAATTTTAATTTAAAGGGGATGTCTAATGCTATTTCATGCATTCTGACTTATTTACACTGCTAAAGAGTTAGATTCTCATGCGAAACATGACCAAAGTCTCAAAAACGAGTTGGATGTATGACAGAGAATTTCTGTGCCATATAGAGTATTTCTGTGTGAAGTTTTTTCCGAGTATGGGCCTGTATGTATGATGTCATAAAGGGCGGAAAATCCTTGTATGGGCACTTCTACAGAAGAGCGTGCACACACATCAATCAGGGGTGTGTTTCACGTACAACGATGTAACTTGCTGATTAACCACCATAGTACAATGCATTGTTGTGGAAACGAACTAGCTAGTCACGACTGTTTCCCGGGCACGGTCGCATCTCCGTCATTTGAACCACATTAGTTCAACAACATCGGGCCGTTGTTAATGACATCACACGCATGTGGTGGAATAATAACTTCTGCTATTTAACTGATTAGAGATCTTTAAGATGCTGCTGTATTGAACATGGCACCTGATGACTAATTTACTATTTTTTGTTCCCTGTCATTTTGATTTATTTGATGTTACTCCGGGGTTCCCTTCAAAATCAGCACTTATTGAGGACGCGCTAAAATACATAGCAACCCTCTACATTGCGAGTAAATCACTCGCATATGCGACTAAATCTTCACTCTGGCGACTAAATGATGTCTAATATTAGCCAATTGCTAATAAATTCTCAGATTTTACTCGCCAGTGTGTGAGTTGGAGGCTAAGTTTAAGTTTAGCTCAGATATATTTTCACTCGCCGAACACTCTGAGTGCATCAGAGTTTCACTCTCCGCTAAGCGATCTGTGCTGTTTTTCAGTTCATCTGAATGGATGTGCGACGCACAACGTACCGTAAACTCTAGTGTGAAGCGCACAACTCGCCGTCGCTTTGTTTCACACACACGCAGCGAGAGAGGGAGAGAGAGAATTGACGCGCTACCTATGCGCGCTACATGTAAACGATATTCTTTGTTGTATTTTGCTGTCAAAATAACGGAGTTCCTTTGGAATTCTTCAGCTTTTAAGAACTACCGCTTTCTCCGGTAGTGAGCGGAACTAATGCGCAAACGGCAATCTCATTATCGTCCCTGTTTTGATTTCAGCAAATCAGTTCGAGCGAACGCACACAACCTGATTAATATTCATGAATCCAGCAGCTCGTTAATCCTTGTGTGTATATGTATGTGTGTGTATATGTGTGTGTGTGTGTGTGTATGTATGTATATGTGTATGTATATATTTATCAGTCTGGCGAGTAAACAAAAAAATGTACTAGCCAATGGCGATTCAATTGCCAAGGTGTTCGTAGAGGGCTGCATAGATTAAAATGCATTTATATTTAGATAGAATGGAATATATAGATTGTACTGTGCATGCTAGCTTGCTTATAGCGTGTGCTTGTGACTCTTTAGCTCCACCTACGGCACGCCTCCAGAAGCGCAACGGTACAGCTGTATCTTTCTTCTATAAATCCGATACAACTAAACACTCTTCGAAGATATGAAGCATGCAATACTACTCTATATGTACTCAAGATTAACATGAGATTGGCAGAAACTGTGTGCGTTATGTCCACTTTAGTTAGAACTAAAATAAATGAAAGAAATTCATTGTAATTTAGCTGCACAGTTGTTAATAACACCTTATTTGAATGTTTAAAAAGTGGAAAAAGTTAGATCGATGACAACACATTCTAGAACCAAACTTAGTTCCTTAAATTTATAGTACTAGACAGACAGACAGACAGACAGACAGACAGATAGATAGATAGATAGATAGATAGATAGCTAGATAGATAGATAGTAGTGAATGTATACAGTCAGGGATAGCAGTCAGGAATCGCCTGGCCCTCTCTCATACGATTGGGGCTAGTGAGTATAACTCAGTAGAATATAATGAAATATAACACCACTTCTTGTCACAGGTCAGCAACCAAGCCTGCTCGGGGACTGGCATTCCAAATGCCAAAGCCATTCATTATGAAAATGCTATGCATTGATTTGTCATACATTGTAAAACTCTATCAGAAGGGCAATTTTTTAATCTTTGCAGCAATAGATAGATAGATAGATAGATAGATAGATAGATAGATAGTAGTGAATGTATACAGTCAGGGATAGCAGTCAGGAATCGCCTGGCCCTCTCTCACACGACTGGGGCTAGTGAGTATAACTCAGTAGAATATAATGAAATATAACACCACTTCTTGTCACAGGTCAGCAACCAAGCCTGCTCGGGGACTGGCATTCCAAATGCCAAAGCCATTCATTATGAAAATGCTATGCATTGATTTGTCATACATTGTAAAACTCTATCAGAAGGGCAATTTTTAAATATTTGCAGGAATGCCTGAACGGCTGTGGCATTAGCATTAATACTATTCAATCGCTCTTGGTTTTCAGAGCAACTTGCCCAAGCCCTCTGAAACCAGAGACATATTAAGCACTTCAGCACAGTCAATGAAATAAAATAAGACAGGATTGAGTATATTAGATAAGAATTATGATATATAAGCTGCGCTCTACTGCAAGACAGCTAATTAAATAAGAACATATTTGATAGCAACTGACAGTGCAGCATTCTCACCCAGGTCCCATCATTACTGTCGGAGAGAAAGAGGGAATTAGAAGGTGTATAAATACCATATGGTGTGTGCTGAATTGTCTTGCATTAATGTCAATTATATCCCCTCCGAATACATCAAATGTTCTTAATCCTCATTTTTATCTGTTACCCAGCTACAGACATATTCATCTAACGACACATGTAATGCATAAACTCTATATACGTACATACACACTGTTTAGTACAAAGATGCCCTGCAAAATAAATAAATGAACAAGCAAACAAACACAGTGATGTTTATACAAATCTCTCCAACTGGCATACAAAACAAAGATATTATGAAAAGAAACAATTACAATATTGGAATATTTAGATTCAATATCTTTCTTTAAACATTTATCTTAATGGCCAATTTCTCACGGTCTCCTCTCTCACTGATTCTGGTCACGGCAGTTCTGTTTCTCAGCTTAGTTGGGGTTCAAAACACTTAATATTTAGTAATATTATCAATTTGATGGCACTGACACTATCAGACGAGAACAGAACTGAACAATGACACTATCGTCTGATGTAGATCTGCTTTATAGTTGAATCAAATTCATTTATAATTGATTAATTTTGCAACATCGACACTGATAAAAACGATTTTGTGAAGTAAATACTATAGAAAAATGAATGTAATTTCTACATTAAATAATTTAGTTCAGGCAAGAATTTAAAAAAAGAGTAAATTCTATATTAGTACTCAATTTAAGCTTATAGAAATTAAAGTTTGAACTTATAAGTATATTTTACTTGGAATTTTTTGTTAAGTTTACAAGGATTCTTTAAGTAAATATCAAGGTTATGACGCTGTTGTTCCCATCATGCACTGGGGCATGAATAATAAAAGGGGTCCTATTATGCTTTTTCACTTTTTCAACTTTAGTTACCCAAAACAAAATCAAGACTTTGTAAAAGAGCATAATAGGACCCCTTTAATAAGGTTGATTTTTCACTGTTTTTGAGTTGTATTTACACTATTGTATGGTTGCTTTTGTTGTTAGGTTTAGTAACTTGCTGGTTTGTGACATTTGGAGTTCATTTTCTACTCAAAATGACCCTTTAATACTTAAGCATTATCCACTGATTGTTACCTTCGTTGTGTACTGTGTACCAAGTATTGAGGTCTCTGTGTTCATTTAATAACTACAGTATATTGAGTAGATATATTATCTTAAAAAGGATAACAAGCTGTCTACTTGCTTATACCTAAATGTTTGAAAGTGAACCACATGCTTTAATAACATCTTTTTTTTTTCAGTGCTACATTGTTTGAGTAAAGTTTACAAACCGTGACTGTGTGAAATGTACTTGAGACTTAAAATAATCAAGTAGAAATTACTCATCAAACTCTAACTGGCCACGTTAAATTTACATTTACATTTAGTCATTTAGCAGACGCTTTTATCCAAAGCGACTTACAAATGAGGACAATGGAAGCAATCAAAAACAACAAGAGAGCAATGATATGCAAGTGCTATAACAAGCCTCAGTTAGCTTAATGCAGTACACGTAGCAAGTTTTTTTTTTATTATATAATAAATAAAAAGAAAACAGATAGAATAGAAAAAGAATAGAGCAAGCTAGTGTTAGAGGCCTTTTTTGTTTTTGTTAATTGTATAATAAATAAAAAGAAAACAATTTACTTATTTACTTGGCTAATTTTACATAACTTTTTAAAGTAGAGTTTACTTAATTCCATACTTAAATTTTACTTATAAAATATGTGTGCGAAAACAAGCAAAATAAAAAATAAGTACATTTTACTTATTGTTTTTTTTTTCAGTGCTGAACTAACTCAAGCCGACACAATTGTCTTCACTTGAGCTGCTTATAGCTCAATCAAACTTGTTTTATAATGGGTGAATTTTACCCAGTTATTGAACTGAACTGAATCAACACTGAACTGACTTGAATAATGACACTAACTGTCTTCTTACAGCAAAATTTGGATTTGTCTTGATAAAGTTTGCATCATTGATACTGCTACTTTCCTATTTATCATTGTACAACTGCTTTGAAACAATCTGTTGTATAAAGCACTATAAAAAGGTGACTTTACTTTGGTCATTATGAATTGTTGTTTTATGGAAAAGAGCTTCAAAAATGCTCCTTTTGAATTCATCCATATAAAAAAATATAGATTTGCAATGACATTAGGATGGATATCCTAATGTTAAAGTAACACACCTTAACTATTTCTTATGACGGTCTCATAAGGGGTATTTTTTATTATCCATTATATAATGGCTATATAATGAAAGGTTAATGTGTGGCACTTTAAAAAAGAACGGACCATAAGATGTTCAGATTCTTGCTTTGCAAGTTTTGAGTTCTCCTATATTGGTGTCACAAAGTTAAGTCGCAATATGTGCCTCCTACACATGGCATGGCCCTGTGGCTCCTCTATTGGTTATCATGGAGGGCAGCCTTTATCAATTAATTGAATAAACTGCTTTCATAGCATCTATTGAAAGACAACTCTGACAAGGGGCTAGAAGTGCCTCCACAGCAGTTTTTCCAGCAGCAGGGGGGGAGTAAATAGTAAGAAAGGCAATAACATCAGCCTGGACAGCAGCGCAGCTCTGACACTGCTGTTTGCTTCAGTCTTTTCTCTACCTTAGTGATTCATTCCTCATCCTGATGGGCTCCAATTGACAGCAGTGCATTAAAGTGGACCGCTGCTTCTTTTAACTTCTTTTTTATTTGTATTTCATTTATTTGTTTACAGACGCAACATTGATAGAAGCCATGGGGCCTATTTTGCAATTAAGACTGTATCGCCACGTCTGAAATATTTGGCCGTATACATTTTTTTTAATCAAATTTGAAATATTTACATGTGCCGATGCTGTTAAATTGTGTTAAGATGAAAACCCTGTGGCTGAAAAAGTAACCCACACAATTAATTCCAGTTTACAGCCATATGATCTATGACAAAAGTAATACTGAAGGGTTGATACAGAGCCTGAACTGGATTATCAAATGGCCACCGGAGGCCTCTTAAAAAGAACAACATGTCATATTCATAGCTTTACCCAGAATACACTCTGTTATTCTACGCACTTCGGCAATATTAGGCCTCTGGACATCATTCTGTCTTTATTATGTAAATTAATTTAGGGTTGTTCTGAAAGTAGTAATGTATGTATGCATAGATGTATAGATTTAATTATTCATTTATTTAAAAAAATAATTATAATTTAATTATTAATTATTTAATTTTATTTAGTGAAATACAGAATAGGTTATCACCCATCCGTACTGTTCAAATGAACCAGCAAAAAAAAAGTCAATTTCTTGTCATAAGCCACCTTAAACTATGCAAATTAAATATTTAGCAAGAACTGTATACTTTTATACAGCACAGTAATTTTCTGCATCTCCTGGGAAATTTCATCCTTGAATCTTTTCTACGAAGCATATTCCTTCCAGACCACCCATGTTCCAATTAAACAGTCAATATTCATTTTCTTAATACAGAATTTCAGTTTGCTGTAGCTGCATGACTAAGTAACTGGAGATTGTCTTGTGTGTTTATCAAGTCTTTTGATTCTGAGCTCTTCTGACTACTGATAGAGTTTAAAAGCATGTTTTCACTTTAATAATTAACATTATAAGAATACTTCTGTACTTCAAAAATGCATTAGTAGTAGTAGTAGCAGCAGTAGTAGTAGTATTATAAGAAAAAGCATTGTTATTATTTATAATAATAACAACAGCAATACATTTTTATAATTATTAATTGCATATTGTTATAAAAATCATCATCATCATCATAATGATAATTTAATTCAATAATAAGATATAATATTTATAAAATAATAAATTCATTGTTACTATTATTCTTATTATCATTATATTGTCTCTGTTATTTTATGGATCAAAATGCCCTTTTCATTGCTAGTGAAAATACAAAATCAAGCACGGATCTTCATGAAAAAAAGAAAGAAAGAAAAAAAAAACCCTCCAGCTGCCACATTATGTAAAGGATAAACTTGTTCCTTATTTCTATTTTCGCTTGAACTGCCCATCAGGTTAAGATTAGTTAAAATGAGATTAATTTCCTGATAAACCCTCACAGTGAAGAAGTCATCAGGGTGCTTTAAATGTATTCCATGGGCAATTAAGTGCAGCGGAATTTCCTCAGCTAGGACTGATTTTGAGTGATAATGGCAGGTGAAGAGACAGATAATGAGCAGGCCAAGACACACACGCTTACAGCTCTCTAAAATGACTTCCTGTGCTTTAACCCTGCAGTTATGAATCAACGTGTCACGCACCGCTTCTCTGACACTCTCTACTCCAAAGAAAGAGTAGTCTCGCCAAGGACGAGATGAGAGAGGGATGAAACTTTCAAATGACTGATTGCTAACCGGTATACAAACACAACACAACAGAGCATATCGCATGTGGAGAGGATCAAATGTGTTTGGACTGGTTTCTGTCCTGCAACAAACAAGCTCAAACTCAGACGAGAAAACATAAACGCCAATAACGACACACACGCACACACAGCAGTCTGCAAACACCAACGAACGTGGCACAAACGGTTACCTACCCACAAATACATCATCATCTTGAGCGAGGAGTCAGGGGCTCTCCGGCAGTGAGGAAACGCTTCCTTACTTAGCTTCTTTTAACTTCTCGAGCTCGGCTACGGGAACCCGGCTGAATCCTTCTTGTTTCCACTCTCTCAGGCTCACAGTTCTTTTGTATAATTTATTATATCACTATAATAGAGCTTATTAAAACTGACACTTGGAGGAAGTAGAAGCTACTTCACAAGGTTTGAGATGCTTCTAGCAGTCTTGTTCTTGCTCTTCTTCTTTCCCCACTTGGTCCTCCTCACCCTTTCACTGACAACCCTTGCTTAGACGCCAATTCCTGACGTATCTATTTAATGAGAAGATCCGTGCACCAAGGAAGTCCAGTACAACTGTGCACTCAAAGTGCCAGAGAAAGAGAGAAAGAGAGAGAGAGAGAGGAGGGTGATGGTGTAGGTTTCTCTAGTATAGGCTCCACAAGAAAGATACGTGTACGTTAACACACAGCTGATAGGACGATCCGAAAAAGATCCCCCCCCCCCGCAAAAAGGACTTTTCCCCCTAACAAAATGCTGCTCAGATCCTCAGACGTTGTCGTCCGGAAGCTGATGCGCAGGGGAAGACATCAGTGGGAAATCAAAAGACTCATCTTCTGTCATGAGGGAAGGTAAGAAGACAACTGACCGAAAAAAATAAGCTTGCAACTTTCTCCAAAAAATACTGCAATCTCAGCTCTGAGAGATTCAAGTAAATAAAAAAGTGATGTGAAAAAATACACAGGTAAACTGAGACAAAAAATTATACAACGGGATGAAAAGGAGACAGAAAGCACCGCTCTCTCCTAAATGAGGAGCTTGCACCTGATTCTGCAGCCTGGACTGGTTTTTTCCCCCCTCTTCTTCTCCTCCTCCTCGTCCGGAGTGAATGTGCTGGAGATAAAAGCAGCGTGTACTGGGGCCAAGGCCTTCCCGCTCGGGTTGCTCTGGCTCTGACGCACTAGCTGCCTCCTTACAGCATTTTCTACAGCCATCTGCTGACTCCACCACGCTACTGCTACTGAGAGACCAGACACGCAGCCAGCTAGAGCGCTCTAGAAAAGCGCATATGCGGCTTAAACTCATTACTACTGTTCAGAAGAGGAATGGGGTTTCTAATCAAACACAGGTATTAGAGAAACTCGAGAGTAACAGAAAACAAAAAAAGAGAACCTTTTTGTAAATGGATTTCAAACCGGAAATGGAAATTTGAGCAAGGTCCATTTTTTTGTTTTATGTGTGTGAGACACAAACGCAATGAGATCTGCCAGTGTATTTATGAGGGAAATTAAATTCTGAGGGAAATTTGAATATTAAATTCTCCTCGGGAAGCAATTTGACTCCCCTTTAAAAGGAAAACAATAAAAAAAAGAAAAGTACAACCGTCACAACAAGACAGAAAGAGAGTGTGAGGACAAACAATTAAGCTAAAGGCTCAGACACAAGCCCACATACAGCAAATACACACACACACGCGTATCATATTAAAGCAATATGGCTGCATTAAAGTGATTTGCCACAGGTAAGGGTTTTTCTAAGGCATAACTCAAAGCATAGACGGCACTAATGTTCAAAAAATAAATTACATTTCACAATGATAACAAATGGAATATGGTCATTTCTGTTATGCAGTGTCTTTTGAGATTTAACTCATTAAAAACTTATAAGTATTTTATACATATAGCTTATTTATTTATTT